GTGAAACGCATATCAAAATCACAATTAAATTAAAAAGAAGTGCTACTCAGGAGGCTGAGGAGGGAGGATTACTTGAGTCCAGGAGGTTGAGGCTGCAATGAGCTATGACTGTGCCACTGTACTCTAGCCCAGGCAACAGAGTAAAACACTGTTTCTAAAAGAGAGAAAAAGAGGCTGGGTGCCATGGCTCACACCTGTAATCCCAAAATTTGCAAGGCCAAGGTGGGCGGATCACCTGAGGTTGGGAGTTCGAGACCAGCCTGACCAATATGGAGAAATCCCATCTCTACTAAAAATACAAAATTAGCTGGCTATGGTGGCGCATGCCTATAATCCCAGTTGCTCGGCAGGTAGAGATTGCAGTGAGCTGAGATTGCACCATTGCACTCCAGCCTGGGCAACAAGAGCAAAACTCTGTCTCAAAAAAAAAAAGAGCGAGAAAAAGAAAAAAAAAGTGAAAGGGCAAATAGCCAAATCACTTTTTCAGAAGAACAAAGTGGGAGAACTGTGCTACCACATAACAAGGCTTACTATAATATAAATTAAGTAATTAAGCCACTGTGGTATTGGTATATGGGTCAATAAGCAGACCAAGTCAACCGAACAGAGAGCCCAAAGCCAGACACACACATACTGCCTGGCACAAAATAGGTGCCTGATGAGTATATATGCAATGAATAAGTAAAAATGGACATTTAATATATAAAAGAAATCGGTCAGGCACTGTGGCTCATGCCTGTAATCTCAGCACTTTGGGAAGCCAAGGTGGGCAGATCACTTGAGCCCAGGAGTTTGAGACCAACCTGGTTAACACAGCAAAACCCCATCTCTACAAACATACAAAAATTAGCCGAGTGTGGTGGCATGCACCCGTGGTCCCAGCTACTCAGGAGGCTGAGGTGGAAAGATGGCTTGAGCCTGGGAGGTGGAGGATGCGGTGAGCCGAGATCGCACTGCTGCACTGCAGCCTGAGTGCCAGAGTGAGACACTGTGTCAAAAAAAAAAAAAAAAAGACAACCAAATAGGAAAATGGGCAAAACGGTTGAATAGGAATTGGGGAATACAAATTAAAATAATAGTAAGATACCATTTCATGTCTACCTAAATTAGCAACAAAATTGAAATCTGACAAAATCAAGTTTTGGCAAGGACTCAGAGCAACTGCAATTCTTACATAGCTGGCAACTGGAAACTATTTTGGCTTTATCTAATACAGGTGAGTATTTGCATATGTCCTGATCCAATTCTACTCCTAGTATATCCTTTAGTGAAACTTTAGCATATATGCATCAAGAGACATGTTCAAGAAAGTTCATAGCAGCAGTATTTGCAATAGTCAAGCCCCAGAAGCAAATCAAATGCCCATCAATGAGATAACAGACTAGAATACATTTATTTCAATGAAATTCAGTAAAAATAAATACAGCAGCCAGGCGCGGTGGCTCACGCCTGTAATCCCAACACTTTCAGAGGCCGAGGTGGGTGGATCACGAGGTCAGGAGATCGAGACCATCCTGGCTAACACGGTGAAAACCCATCTCTACTAAAATACAATAAATTAGCCGGGCACGGTGGCAGACACCTGTAGTCCCAGCTACTGGGGAGGCTGAGGCAGGAGAATGGTGTGAACCCGGGAGGTGGAGCTTGCAGTGAGCCGAGATCGCGCCACTGCACTCCAGCCTGGGCGACAGAGCGAGACTCTGTCTCAAAAAAAAAATAATAATAAATAGATAAATAAATAAATACAGCTACATGTATCAACATGGGTGAGTCTCAAGAACATATTTAGCAAAAATAATAAAGTCACATAATAAATACTGTATGGCTCCATCTATATAACAATCAAACATGTAAAACTAAAACATACTGTGCTTGGAACTGCAGGTAAAAAATAAAAATCATTTTTATAATTTTTTAAAAAGAATACAGGCATGGTGGCTGATGCTTAAAGTCTCAGCACTTTGGGAGATTAAAGTAGGAAGATCTCTTGAGGCCAGGGGTTTGACGCCAGCCTGGGCAAAACAGCAAGACCCTGTTTCAACAAAAAAATTTTTTTGAATTAGCCGAGAGAGGCTGGGTATGGTGGCTCACGCCTATAATCCCAGCACTTTGGGAGGCCAAGGCAGGCGGATTGCTTTGAGTTCAGGAATTCAAGATCAGCCTGGGCAAAATGGTAAAACCCCATTTCTACCAAAAAATTAGCCAGGCATGGTGGCTTACACCTTTAAATCCAGCTACTTGGCAAGCTGAGGCTGGAGAATCACCTGAGCCCAGAAAGCAGAGGTTGCAGTGAGCTGAGATCGCACCACTGCACTCCAGCCTAGGTGACAAAGTGAGACCCTGTCTCAAAAAAAAAAAAAAAAAACAAACCAGGCATGGTGGTGCCTGCCTGTAGTCCTAGCTACTTGGGAGGCTGAGTTGGGAAGATAACTTGAGCCTAGGAGTTCAGGGCTGTAGTGAGCTATGATCACGCCACTGCACTCCAGCCTGCAGGGAGCAGAGCTCTAGGGAGCAGAGATAGTCTGCTCCCTAGAGTACCTAAAAATATCTTCTGCCTTTTCTGTTTTTCGTTCCCAGCTGCCTTCACACCTAAAAAAGCTCTGTAGTCCCAAGGTCTGTCTACTCTTCTACTTTCCTTCCTTGCTTCCCCAGTTGCCTCCACTGGCTCCAGAGACATGACAAGGCCATCTAGGAAAGAACACTCATCTTCTTTCAGTCTCTGGAATGGGTGACAAAAATACCACTGTTGTTAGATTACTCAAGCTGTAGAAACAGACTTTTTAACCACAGATTCTTATGCTGTAAGGCAACATGCACCCCTAGTCCCTCTTTATTTTCTCATTTGGACTCTTGTAACAGCCACTCACCTAGCCTCTCTGCTTCTAAAAAGCATGCCTGTTCCTATCCCTCTTTCATTAAAAACCCTTCACTTGTTCCTCCTCACTGTCTCCAGAGAGGTTAAAACTGGAAACCATTGGACCTATTTGGTCTACAGATGTACTAATGTGTTTGGTTTGAATACATGCTTCAAATAAAAACCAAAAAGCAAAAACTCTGGGTTAACTTTTTTTTTGAGACAAAATCTCATTCTGTCACCTGGGCTGGAGTGCAGTGGT